GGCGGAGGCGAGAAGGGGCGGATGAGCCCCGGGGACACAAACTGCCGCTTCCCTGGCTCCCGTCTCCTCTTCCGTTCCACCGAAGGTGCCCGCGCCGGCCTCTGGAGACGCGGGGGGACATGGGCGGGGGGGGCAGCCGGGTCACAGCCTTCACCGCCGGCCTGGCCTCCCTCGGGAGCATCCTCTCCCAACTCCTCCCTCCTCAATCCGGCGAGGGCGCGTGGGACCCAGTCCAGGCCACACAGGGAGACAGGCCACGCCCGCCCGGTTCCCTGACTGGGCCCTCGCCCGCGGCAGCCCGGGACAGGGGTCCTGACCAGTGCCCGGGTCCAGTGCGCACTCCACTCGTCTCCATCGTTAATCTCAAACAAGTTCGCTTCCAAAGGACACCCCAACCGACCCAAGCCACGGCGGCGGGAGGCGGGGGACCAACAGCTATGCAGCCAGCCCAAGCAGTTGTTTCATGGTAGAATTAAATCACATCAAAACGCCCCCTGAAACCCACATCCTGCAGGAATGAGCCTGCATCCTGCCAGCCCTAAATCCCAGCCCAGTTCACACATAGACCTTCCTGCCTCGGCATCCAAAGGTAGGGCGCAGCAGGGTTCCCGGGCCAAGGGCTCCCAAAAACCTGAGGTAGCAGAGGCTCCCCAGAACAGGGATGCCGCGGAGCCCAGGGTGTGTGTGTGTGGGGGGGTGTTCTGGGACAACTGCACCCCACCTGCGCCCCCTATTTTCTCCCTGGAGACTTCAGCGGGCATTCCAGCCTCCCTCACAGGCAAAGCTTGGAGAAATCGGGAGCACAGAATGTAGCAAAGCCCCGGGGGGGGGGCGGGGGTGTTCATCACATGACTTGGACTGGGCTCAGTCCACCTCCGCCTGGCCCAGGGAGCCCAGCTGGGTGATTTCGGTAGAAACAAGGTCTCTGGGGGAAAGTCACGGCGGCGCCCACCCAGCCCTTCTCGAAACAGGACTTCCAGATTTCCCGTCGTCCTCCAGCTCCTAATCTCCGGGACACCCACCCGTGGCTCAGCGCCACAGGACTGGGAGTCCAGATAACTGGCCAGGGGGAGAAAATGGGAATTCGAATTAGAAGGAGTCCTCCTTTAATCTCTGCTTGGCTTCCAGAAAAAATACCCGCTAGCCCTTCTGCCCCGTGAAAAAGTGTCCACACCTCTGCTGTGATGACATCCACTTCAGTTCTGTCCTCTCTGCCCGTGGAATTGGAGAGTCACAGCAGGGACTGGGCTTTGTTTTACCATGTTTCACTCTACGTCTTTTAGAGCAGGGCTATAAGCGTGGACACAGTTGTGCGGTCACATCTCCGAGATGGCCACTCTCCGATGCTAAATTTCAATGAATTGTACACCAGCACTGCACTAACAGTGAAAATCAGGTTTCTTTCCAGCTTGTCCATTATTGTCTTGTGAACACACTACAGCAGAGTATTGTTTTGGTTTTTTTCTTTGATGCTCCAATATTTAAAAGTAAAATGGTTTTACTTTTCCTGGCCCTCTTCACCAATCCCCAAAATATCCAGATCTGCTGTACAGAATTTAAGTGTGACCACCGGCCACTTCCTACGGGACCAACTGAGCGTTTCAGTTTCTTCTTAGTAAATTGTGTCCACCCAAATTAGAGGTTATCAGTGGGCCAAGATTCAAACGCTGCTCCTTTAGACTTGTTAGTCTCTGCTGATTAAGAAAAAAGAGCTAAAATGAGAATCAAGACTTGTCATGTAGAGGTACAAGATCCCAACAATGAACGTAACTGTACTGTATCCCTAAAATGTACCAATAAACTCAATTAAAGCTGAAAAAAAAAAAAAAGAAAAAAGAGCTTTCTCCTGGCCATTCCTACAGCACAGAACTGAAGTCTCACTCCGCGACGGCGTTTTCCCTATTTTCAGTGGAAGGGCGCTGAAACCTGCCTTTCTTCCTCTGGCCCTGTTTGCTGTCCTGAGGTTTCAGGGAGGCTGCTACTTCTTGTGCAATAAATTTACCTGGGTTTTTTAACTAAGGGAGGGAGAGAGCCAAGGGATGGAATGTGTTTCCCGACTCCGGCTTCCCCCTGCTGTAACTTCCCCGAGCGTCTCCTTAGAAGCCCTCTCCTACAGAGTGCACCAGAGACGCGGCGAGGACCTGGACAGGGCTGCGTCCTCAGGGTCCCTTTCGTGGCGGGCGGCTCCGTCCTCCCTCGCTCGCGGCTCTGCTCTCCCGGCGCCTTTGCCTTCTCTGCTCCCTTCTCTGCTTCTTTTCCTGCCCTACACGGTCCCCACCCAGCAGCGTGGATCTCCGAGAACCCAACAGCGATCTAGAGGAACTCTCCGTACATCCGGGGCGAGGACGCGAAGAAGTGGACGCTGCCTAAGGGGAGATCGTCAGACCCAGTCTGTTTCCTTCCTCTCCCCCGGTTTCCTCGGTGAGACCGGGGTTTATTTTCGCTAACGTGGGCCTCCTGGTCTCCACAGAGCCCGGACTCCGGCCGGCCCGCTCCCATCCCCTTCCCTGGCGCCGGCTCCGCCTAGTTCCTCCGGAGCATCCCCGTGCGGCTTTCCCTTTCATCTCCCGGCCGCCTGGGAGAGCGCGTGGGCGCCGG